TTAGACTTAGGTAGAATCGTCAGTCACAGGTGCACAGATTGTCGTCCTTGTGCAACGGATGATAATCTGATGTATAGATTTGAGCTCAGTTGTTGTGATCGTGCCTGAAGACCCCGTATGCGAGTGATATCATCTCCAAATTTCTCAACCTCACGATCAGAGACGAAAACGCAGAGAACCCCATACGGACGAGTTACTGCGGCATATCGTCATCAACTTCGTGATCGCCAGTCAAGATGCTATTGGGGTGACAACCACGTGGCTTGTCTACGAGTTGAGTATGCACTCGGATGCGTCGCACAGACTGTACTTAGAGCTCCGAGAGTATGAGTGCCAGAGACCATTCGGATGTCAAAATTTGGAAAACGAGTATCGGGATGTCGACCTGCAAAACGAAGACTACCTTGGCATGATGGACACACGAATTCGTGAATTTTCTGTGCTTCTCACCTCCGAGTCTCTGGACTAGCTGCCTTTCTTGCATGCTTGCCTTAAGGAGACAATTCGACTTCACCCCGCGGTGCCTCTTGTATGTCTCATGAGCCACATCTTCTTTCATCGTTGGTTTTGGAACGTGATTTTCATAGACCTGGTTTTCGAATCTATTCAGGGTAATATGTAACATGCCTAGACAAAGGACCACGTAACGAGTAGACTCGACCTTTCAACAGATTATATATTGCCACGACATGTATCTAATTCATATAGATTGGTAAGCTGTTGTAACCAGCGGTGCTTGCCCCTCGTGCAGGACCCCAGGGACATAGAAAAAGAAGACACAATTACAGCTGGAGACGTCTTCATGAGCAGCCAGAAAGGCAACGCAGTCTTCATTGCACCATATTCTATGGCTCGAATGACGTCTATCTGGGGTCCGGATGCTGCACAGTTCAACCCAGATCCTTGGCTGCAGAGTGGCAAACTCGAGCCAGCATCTGACAGCAAGCTCGTGACGTTCCAGGTGGATTCCCTGATTTTTATCACCAGATTTGAACCGCATTCAGTTTGAGTTATGGTAGGGAGTCAGAGACTGCTCACCTTCAGCGTCAGAGATTGCTGGCTGGACAAAGTCTACGCTAGAATCATCCTTTCTCGCTATTGGTTTAGTCCGTTCGAGCTAGAAAATGTAAAATGATGTTAGACATGAAGAACTTTGTGATATTTGTGCAGCCGGGTCTTTATACTGGCGCTGTGAAAGATTTGACTTACCATAGCTGCAAGGTGGTTGCAGCTATTCTTTTTTGGTTTTTTGATTTTATCCGCGCGTGTCCCATCAATCGGACTCCTCAATATCGGATGACGTCCACATTAGTGATAGAGAGTGGCCTTCAAATGTATCCTCGTTTGAATGACAAAATGGGATCTACTATTTAGTAGCAACCTTTCTCAATACTCTTCTTAGTCCAGCCTGAGAAGTCCAATAAATCAAGAGTGAAGCGCTCGAGAAAGAAATGACGGGAAAGAGAAAAATCTGAGAAGAAAGAGGTCTGAGATCAAACTTATATAGAAAGTATAACTCGTCCGAGGAGTACGATGTACCAAGTTCAGAGTATAAAAATCACAGTACAGTGAATGTTCTGGTAGCTGTCAGTAGTCAAACAATAAGACTACGGATACGGATCATCGTCGCAGATCGCTATGTCAACAGTTGAAGGACACTGTCAGAATCGGTTGCATGTCGACAAAAAGCTCAGCAGAGGTAGCGAGTTACGATGGTGACTAGAGCTTATTATCTTGTTATCTGTCAATTCTTAATCAAGAGTAGCATAGTTAGGATATAGCTCGTAACAACAAACATAAACAAAATTGTTCAACCTGCGCGTATGATGAGAAGTACACTGTGGTATTGACTTTGTCTACTGAGCATATATGTAAAAAGTGAATCCAGATTGATAGTAGAATTACATTATGTATTTCAAAAGTGAGACCTGCACTTTAGACCGCGGAATCAATGGTTACTTTTTGCGTCACAAGGTCAGTCCGATACCAGTGATTATAACAATACCTGCAATTCACTGCCTTAGTTAGACCAAGCCATAACTAAATTCCAAATTTCCAATTCTTTCAACATATGACCTTGCTCCAATAAAATTTTTTCTATAATTTTCATGCCGAAAACAGGTACCAATACATTGTTGTTAAATACTGCCAAATGGCTTGCGAAAAATGTATATCCCTTTACTTGTTGTATCAGTACTTCAATTGATAACGAAATTAAATGCAAAGTTGTACAACAGTCAGATTAACTTAATGATTCAATGATAACAGGTTATTAAGTCTTATGCGTTCTTGTTTCTAACAAAAGTTAAAATTACTGAGGAAGGGCAAGTACAGTACACCAGGAAGGGCCCCGGATTCCGGCTTAGAGAGTCACCCCACCAAGAAGAGGAGAGAAAACTTAGAATTTATGAAGGGTGCAAAGGGTCAGCTCACCTCAGACAGGAAATACACCAACTCACCCACTTCGGCCTGAACCTCTTACTGACTTCTTGGACACGAGCATACTGGAACAGTGACGGGACCAGACCAATTAGGTAGCCCAGCCTTGGGGGATAAAATATTCCAAGTGTTGAGTACAGAAGTAGAGGGGATTATTGAGTGCCGGCCTGAACACTTGGGCATCAGCTCCGATCCAGCATTTTTGACGAGTGCCAGGACCAACCACTTGTGGAAATACAAGTTCCTAGTGTTGAAGAATAGCCCAAGACTACTGAGAGAGGTACTCAAGATACCGGTACTCAACAGTACTGTCGATTTCTCAGCACTCGCATATTACTTTCGCAATTGCTTTGCTACGTGGTTGGTCTGGTCCGCGAAGTAGTCTAATATGCTCGTCTCCAAGAAGCCAGTCATAGCTTCGGGCGTGTCGGTCGGTGTCAGCCAGCACTCTCTCATATTCCCGTCTATAGCCAAAAAAAGCAGACGGTAGTGCATATTGCAGACAGCAGTGTAAATTTTAAGTTTTTTTGTTTGCTTTGCTTCATATTTGTTTTGTTGCAACAATATAGTCTGAGATGATCTCCTCTTTTATATTGTGGCAGTTGGATACATTCTTATCATATAATATTTCAAAGTGACATGCTATCTGGGGTGACTAATCATAATTAATTTGACTAAGATTAACCAAGACTAAAGTTAGTTTTCAAAATTGATTCTTTTCAAATGTCCATCAATTCATTCCAGTAATTTTTAGTTTTTTAAAGATACATCAATCCCAGATCTTGGTCCAATTTCATAAACTTTTTTGTGAATCGCTTCACAATAAATTTCAAGGAGTCCTGATGTACAATAAGAACATTACTATTATGAAACTGAACATTCATTTTATAATACATATGAAGAATGATGAAAGATGATATCTTCTGATTGCTTAGCTAATGCATAAGCTTTCTTTTAAGACATATGCTTTAGCTAGTAAGCAGAGATCTATCCACGGATATTTTAATTTTTTAATTTTTTGCAAATTTACATATTTGGTTTGTTGAGGCAAGAAAAAATTCTTCTTCTAAACATATCTTCTACTCAAATGAATTTATGATAAGTTTCATCTAAATATTTTTTATTACCGATAAAGGATAGAATTTTGAAAAAAATCAATACAAACAGCACAAACTTTGAGAATAAATTTGGAATTTTGGACGGAAAATTAATATTGAATATCCGTTTATCAACAAATTTTTCACTCTGGTGCCTTCAGTCCTCAGGTGCCTTCAATATTTTTATTTTTTCAACGTGGGAGTGTAGTGTAACATTTCCAACTGCTGTGAGTAAATTTTCTAATTTATGAATAGTAGTGGAAATGCCTGTAATGAGCTTGGGAGTGATATTTGAAGTTTAAATTAAATGACTTGTAGACACATTTTCTTGTACAACTTTCATTACCAGCCAGCCCATCTGATCAAAGTTTACTTCGTCTCTGGCCCACCCTCTTTATTGAGATTACTCCCTGTTTAGCTTAGTGGCATCCAACGGGACAACCCGCTCATTGTTTGTCAGCTCATCCAACAAGAAAAGACTCTCCTTTTAGCCCCGCCCCCTTAAAACGCAAGCGTTGGTCTCCTTCGGGGCAGCCCTGCCTGGCCAACCAAACGGTGCTCCGATGAAGCGTCACCAATCTTCGAGCCAGTCCCTCGAATTGACGAGGTTCTCTCGTTTTGGCCCAACTCTCCTGGCGATCGGCCAAGCCCATCGAACTAAAGGGTGGTCCCATCTCCACTCAGCCTTATCCAAAGAGATGCCACCCTACAAACTACTATCCATTGGGCCAGCCTCTTCATCCTCATGGTGCTTTGCTCTCACAAACCGATGAAAGCAGAAATTGTTTCAATTTGGCCTAGCTCATTCCACATCTCACTTCGTCCGATGATCCAACTGGGGACTGCTGTCTCTAAGGCCCATCATGTCTGACTACATGTTGCTTTAGACATGACGCATCCTTTTCTTATCACACACCGCTCGCCCTTTTACCCGGGAGATTAACAAGTACTAGAGGGTTTTATCTTACCATTGAAACTTGTGGTATTATAACCAATTGGTTCGCTATGTATCGAGTTGGCGTTTTCAAAGCGGGGAAAGTTTCCATGTTAAATTCCTCACTTAAATTGAACATGGAATTGCAGTCAATTTTTGTAAGCTGCTAGGAATTTTTCATGCATCTCCAATTTCAATTTCACAAAATAGAGCTTTTATTGAGGTAAAGAGTGTAGTATACTTTGATGGTGGTAGTTAATACTAGGTTGTATTATACTTTTCATCTCATTTTTAAGGCGCATTTCCTCATGGAATCAGTAAAGTGCTGAGGCTTGTGAACAATTTTTCAAAACCCACCTCAATTTTTCAAACACATGGAGGTTCAAACGTAGAAGCTCATGTAGAGTATCAGATTCAGAAATAAATATTGGGATCTGATCTTGAAAATTACCATCGCCTAACTACTGTCATATTACTATGTTTGCAACCAACTGTATTTTTTTCCCAAAAAAATTAATATTATTATTCGTGATATCTTACCTGAATGTTTACATTTCAAAATACAGATCAACTACCATATTAAATGTACTCTCAAAATCCCTGAAAAAAGCAACCAGTGCTAGTACAAAGTAGTGTTGGATAAAACTAGTGCAACAGATAGATCCTTGCTCTGATGTGCAAATTGGGGAGCCAGAAAGATTTGAGTGGGAATATTTCAATCGATTACTTCCTGATATCCTATATTGGATAAGGTGCATACAAAGACACAACATCAATATATGGTCTATATTCGATGCACAAAATATGTACAGGATAGCTTGCATACATGCCACCTTAAGTCTCAGATGGTGAAGTTCTCAGCCAGGGTTATACAACCTTGCAATAAAATGCCTTGGTATACAATTCGTCCTCAACGTATTTTCAGAGAGTACCTGGCCCGTCACTCGCTCCTCTATTCGGGCCGGAGGGGCCGGAGGGCGGAACCGGAGTGTCTCGTGGGAGCCTTTGAAGAATTTCAAGCTTGCTTTCTCTGAACAAGTTGCGACCAAGATTTGGGACTGCTTTGTGATCCATCCGATAATCCTTGGTCTTGTCTGCTGCTTCAATCCCACAGAGAAGTACAGGACGATCTTCTCTTAAAGTACTGAAGTCGCAGGGAAGTGGTCCATCTTCAGTATGAGGCTCGAGATGATCTTGTCCACAATCACAGTTTGAGTCCTGCCTGATTTCATGTTCAGCGAACAGCAACTCTGGTAAACCATGTCTAAGAAGATCCACCTCGACATGATTTTCACCTTTCGAATCAGCTTTGTTCGCTCCGGAGAGTGTGCGCGCGTAACAAAGCCTTGAATACAACAAGAGTAGCGTGACCTGTTTTAGGAAGGGAACTGCCATATTTTATTTCCACTGTCGAAAATCAACGCAAAGGTCAGGTTCAGTTCAGTATATCTCAACATAGGATGAGAGGACCACTGGACAAACATGATGAACGAGGAAAGATGATGAATGAGGAAAAGTTAGAAAATTACCTGCTGATTTCGTTGGAGAGCGGCAATGACGGAGGAGAAGCAAGACCTTCTCAGTAGTCCTCTAAGTCCAGCCTGAGAAGTCCAATCAAGCAAGAGTGAAGCGCTCGAGAAACAACAGACGGGCACGAGATGTAACAAAGGAAGTCAGGAGCTGAGTTTATATAGGATCACCGGCATACCCAACGGCTTACAGTCATTCTTCACGTTAGGAAGAGAAATCCTCACCTCGTGACTTTCAAATCAAACCGTGAGCCCATTCAAATACTGCTGCATATTAATAGAAATGAACGTCTTCTTATGGTACTCGGCGCCAAACGGACAGAGACCAAGCCAGACTATGTGAAGGGAGTCGACCTTCCAAGCTTCGAGTATACAGTGTCAATCAATTTACAGTCCACCTTCTAGGCTACTTTTAATCATGAACGGAACGCAGTATCTATCGATTTACAGTTCAGGAGTGTACGTTATGTATGCATTCAGATGGCCACCAAAGCCAGAGAAGGGAAGACAAGAATCAGAAATCATTAATACATAGCCAATTCATGGTAGAGTCACTTTATTACCCATTTGTGCCACTTTTTTAGACTGATGTACATTCGTTTGTCAAGGGCGAAACGGCGAAGTATATAATCTTAATTACGACCTATGAACTTGACATGCAGTATCTCTATACGCAAGTACGATTCGTCCAATTGCTGTAATGAGGTGCACATGTCTTCGGCCTCAATTCCAGTGTGATAGGTGCGGGCATGTTAATATCCACAGCTGTCACGTACGGTGGTCAGAAAGATGTTTCAAGTAGCGTGGATGAAGAATGGCTGTCTTAGTGTGGACATGATGTTATGCAAAGGATTGGGACGGGTTTAGCTGCACAAACTTATACATAGCCCCTATATAGGGCCTGCATAGACCCAGGCAGGTGTCATCCTGCAGTGAGCCGTAACGGAAGTTCTTCTTTTCGCTCTGACTCTACTCCTTTGGACCAAAGATGGAAGAATGTGCGGGCAGACTAACCGGGCAGGTTTTTGATTGGCACTCAGTTTTCCGGTGGAGCATCAAAGTGACTGAAGTAGATCGCTCCGCTTTCCGGCAGACGGATCTAGCGATGGACTATAAGAACATATGGGCATCCATCCGCACTCAACTATGAGGGAATCCCTATTCTCACAACCTGGTCGACGTCATACTGACGACCATAGTTTTTCACAGCAGAATTGTTCAACCGATGTTTGAAACTGTGTCGACCACCTTGAAAATGTTTCTCTTCGTGCTTTTCCCTTCTTCCCCTGCTACCTGAGCACATGAATCCACCGGAGAATGGACCGAATAGGCAAGTCACAATTCGCCAGTTAGTCTTTCTGAATCAAGACCTGAATCGACGTATCACTTTGAAGAGAGCAACTCGGCACATTGATAAAGTCGGTGTGGATGATCCAACAGCGATGGTTGACTATGCTAGAAAAAGGTCGTTTCAAACACGAGTCAGGGATAGGAGTAACATTCAAATTTTTTCTTGACTCGCTGGTTCAAAGTGCGCTGGTGATAGTTGGGGAACTCCGAGGAGAGATCTTCTTGCCGAGCAGGTGATATCTAGTACATTGGTTCACCCAATTGTGGAGTTCATGGTCTTCAAGTTTCGTGTTCAGTCCTCTACTTTCTAAATGCTGAAACCTTCAGCCTGTTTCTATCAAAGGGAAAGCACTCCTGAAATGTCCAGAAACACGGACATTGTCACTCAGAAACTTTTGAGCTTCGATGTCTCCGGATGAATGAGAAGGGTTCTGTCTGATATGTTAACCTTCTAGGACTGACTTCGAGAGCCATATTTCTCAAGGTCTGTCATGGTGCTTCGAATTACATGGCCCGAGAACTGAAGTGCACCTTTGACTTGAGGTTCTCGGTTGGAATATAAATGCTCCTCTTGATAGCTTCTAGAGTTATTTGGATGTATCGTTGAATAGCCAGAGATCAGATAAACATATAATAGCGAGAGAGTTGAGATGTGGAGCTCCTTCAGTTTGGTTCATATTGCTGCGCAATACAAATTGTAAGCATGTCCTCATTCTGATCTAAACATTGGGTTACAGACAGGTCAGAATTATTGGTCGAGACAAGCCCGCACGATTTACATTCTCTCATTCTCAAGACTCAAATTCTATTTTCTTCCGTATTTTTTCAAAACTTTATTTTTTGAGGATGATAAGTACCCTCTCATCTCCGAGTTGTCGAATGTGCCCATGAGCCTCATCAGGGAGCAGCTATCAAAGTCAGCAAACCGGAATTTAGAGAAGAACGAGAGACATATTTGTCCTAAGTTCAGGTGAATTATTTAAAACTCAAATGACACATGAAAAATTTCTGATATATAATAGGCAGACGTATTCTGCAAAGCTACTCTTATGGAACTTCTGCCAGGTTTTGAGTACATCGTCTGATAACTGGCAACTTCTGTCGGATGAGACAAAACCTGTATTTGGAACTCGCCACCCTTTTGGCTATTACAAGCCTCTGTCGAATCAGTCCTCACTACTCTCCGTACTTACTATCCAAGGTCTAACTTGATTCACTCAAGCATGCAGTAAGTTCACACAACACACCTATGACCAGAAATCTTACAACAGATGCTTCTGCTGACTTTATTTATGTCGTCAGATATACACATGGTTCTGTGATGTAGGGTTTAGTGTGATACTACATTGAGTTCGAGAATAATTCTCCAAATTCTGACAAAAGTACTGTATACGTCTTCCTGTTTTCGTCATGAGAGTTCTCAAGGAATATAAACAGCATAATTTGGAGGTGTTCTCTCTCATTTGCAGTTGCAAGGGTTGCATGAGCACTTGTCACCTCACTTGCATCCTTCGTTGGCACCCTCAAAGCTGTATCAAAAAAAACAAAATTATAATCAGATATTGATCGACCGTCCCAAAATCCAAGAACGGTGATTTTATGAATGTAACGCCATGAGTACATAAGCCACCATACATGTTTACAGGTTAATCAAGCATGAATTGCAAACATGTGTCCAATATATAGAAACCGGCGGGATGATAAGTACCCTATCATCTCTGAGTTGTCGAATATATCCATGGACCTCATCGGGCAGCAGCTATCAAAGTCAGCAAACCGGAATTTAGAGAAGAACGAGAGACATATTTGTCCTAAGTTCAGGTGAATTATGTAAAACTCAAATGACTCATGAAAAATTTCTGATATATAATAGACAGACGTATTCTGCAGAGCTACTCTGATGGAACTTCTGCCAGCTTTTGAGTACATCGTCTGATAACTGGCAACTTCTGTCGGATGAGACAAAACCTGAAATCGAGGCGAATTACATATCTCGTGCGAAATCTACTTATAGAAATGGTCAGCTGCACCATCAGAGAACAAACAGATGCAAAGGATGGAGGGAGGGGAGCAGACACTTATGGCGTTGAGAGCTTGTGAGAATTCAAGTTCAGCACAAACAAAAATTCCCAAAGTCTCTTAAACACATGCATTCAATGTAACATAAATTAAGCATAACACCTGAATTCTACAATTAGGAACTATTGTCACAACGACTTTGTCCACTTCAGAATTCAGGTCAAGTCACTCAGTGTAGCTTTCAACCAGAAGCCAGTCTCAAGTTTAATGGTGCTCTACTTCACTGCCAACTAGAACCAGAAATCACAGCAGCAAGACTTCAGCATATAACTTGGATACTTTGCCCCATGGTCAAAAAGCTGAAATGTACATGTGCAAATCAGCTACCACTTCTTTCGAGCTACATTGGAGCCTATCTAGGTAGAGTGGAAAAAAAAACAGGTCTGAAAATTGCCATTGAAGACTTTTGTAAGTGAAACTAACCAGTATCGAAGTCCACGTACGACTTTCAATTCATCGCCATATGTTAGCACGTCGTGTCCTGTCACCAGGTGTCCTCACCTTTTCAAGCCAACTCAATTTCCTGAATGATGAGCTAGGCTTATCTAGCATGGATGTACGCCACATGTCTGCAACAGGAAGTATTCTACCAGTACTCCATGCTTGGTGAGACTCCTTGATACGTCCAATGCAATGCCTGAGCTCTAGCTCTCCCACTTTCAGCATACTAGGATTTTCATCAAAAAAGTCCTTCAGCCATACCAATTGAGTATGAAGAACACGCTTGATCTTTTCTTCCTCCTCCAGATCTGTTGGCTTTGATGCTTTCTTTACAGGGCTGTCCGTATCTGATAACACATAGAACATGTACGGTTAGGTAGTTTCATCACTCAAACTGTCATTTCTGCAAAATATATGCAGTTATTGCACATTAAACTGACAGTTTGAAGTACCTTCTGTAAGGTTGAAGGTGTCATGGCAATCATCTTTGACTTCAATATCTGCAAGTTCTCTTCGAAGGACTGGATCCTCATTGAAATCATATATCTGTGATGAAGTACCTTTATCAAAGAGCTCTTTGATTCCACCTCGTATTCCACCAAACCGTATGCCCAAACAAATGCGGATGTTGGTCTCGGAATATCCTTTCCTTCGTAGAATAAGAATCTAGACACACATGAATCAAGCAGTGTTAATAAAAAATACCGATACGACCAATATATGCAATCAAAAACAGAATTACAATCTGAGTTGTACCTGATGTTTGCAAAAGTTGCCTTGGAGTGACCAGAAGCACTCGCATGCATACTTTTCTCGTCTCCAATTTACAAGATACCTTCTATTTAGCTTTGATGTAGAGCCCACTAATGCGGGGCCTGCATAGCCATGAGGCCAAGTAACAGGGACAGTTAGCATAGATCTTGTCTTCATGATCACAGCAATCACACGTTGATCTTTCTTCTTATTTGGAATAAAGCCAAGTAGCTTCTTCTGATCTTTGTACCAAATTCTCATTACAAAATCCCCTAGCAGACCATATACTGTATGATCCAAACGTTGCTCATGTGCATTCCTGCGCCAGCCATAAAGGAAATCCTTCATGTGTCCATGCATTGATTCCATAGCGTTGTTGGTATCTTGATTGTTACGACATGTCTTCCTCCGTTCATCACGAATCCACTGACCTGAATTCCAAAACAGTAAGTTAGATGTGCTTGTGGAAGTTCATTAAGCAAAAAACAACTTCCAAAATGT